CTAATAAGTAGCTATTAAAATAATAAATGAATGCAAATGTTTCCTATAACAATGTGGGAAAACATTTTATCTTTTAATCATTGTCATCAATGATTTGTGCTCTTTTAGGAGCCAGTTCAGGACAGATATATTTTAATATCCTATGGCTTATCTTCTTTTGGCAATTGGTAACAATCAAAACAAAAACCAAAAACTTACCCACATTTCTCAAAACTGGTTTTGAAAACAACTTTTCTCAAAGTTTGATTAATTAGAGTAATATCTGAAAAGATGTGTGAATAATAAGAAATATGTATTCCATTAAAGTCTCAGGTTCACACAAATTAATAACTATTATCTGCAGAGCTGGTATCATATGTGAAATGTTACTGTACAGTTTATGTTCTGAGTGCTTCCAGTTTCTCTGCTATGCTCTGGGTAGATGGCCAAAGGTGACCTCCTTTTAGGAAATGTAAGGGACAGCACAGAGCACACCTTTGGACTACTGGTATTGTCATTAAAACAATAATAGTAGCTGAGGTACAGTAAAGGCTTACCATGTGCTAGGTGCTTCGCTTCATGTGTTATGTCATTTAATTCTCACAGCTCTGTGAAGTGGGTACTGTCTTACACTATGAAAACTAAAACTTAAACTAAGTGGAGAAACAGCCATGGCCAGAAATCCCCCGAGGACCGCTGAGAGCATTTCGGTCTCCAGAGGAGCCCGTACCTATGATGGGTATGTGACCTTTGCCTCTGTTGCCCAACAGATAAGACAGTCACTATCTGCTTCATCAAACCATCCTATCTTGCGATTGTTTCCACCAAGTCAGGAATTATTTTTACACAGAAAGAAATTTCTTCCATTGAGAATTTTCTAAATCCCCCGAAAATTATTCTTCCCATTTTATTCACGATATCTTTTCTTTAGAGAGAAAAGATTATCTTTATTGAGTACCATGGATAAGGAAGACGGGGCACCCACTGACCGTCAACCAACGTTCTCAGTCCTTGTCCTGAGAAAGGATATTTGCATGGTTCAGGCGTTCTCCCAGACACAGCGGCCTAGTGATGGATGCGATGTTGTGTGCTCATCAGAGTTCCTTCTTCCACAGCATATTCAGTCCTTCCTGCGCCGCGGGCTTTCTTCTAGTGTCATTTTCCTCCTTCACTTACAGTCTGTCTTTAATAAGGATTTTGTGGGTGTCTTCTTAATGGTAGTTTATCTGTACGTGTCTTTATTTTTGCTCTGCTTTTGAAATTTAGTTCTGTTCAGTACACAAGTGTAGGACGACGTATTTTCTTAGCCATTTGGAGGTATCAATCTGCTCTCTTCTGGTTTCTATTATTATTGCTATTGAGAAGTACTTTGTCAGTCTCAGTTTTATCCGTTGGAGCTAGTCTATCTTTTCTCTCTGGCTCTTTTTCTTAGTGTTTTTGTTGATCTGCAGCTTGATTGCAATGTGTCTAAGTGCAGATTTCCATCTTGGTTTGTTTGTTTTTAATACTAGTTGGATTAGCTGGGCTTCATAAATTGGAGGATTCTATGTCCTTCATCAGTTCTAGACAGCTATCAGTCATATTTCTTTTGTGTTATATGTCTATTAATTCTCTCTAGTATGTAGCACAGAGTTCTAATTTTCTCTCTAAAGCTTTTGTAGATATGGTACTCTTCGTTCTTGATTTTGCTGAACCTCACACACAGTGGCCTATCTCTCTTTCCATCTCTCTCTCTCTCTCTCTCTCTCTCTAATATGACACCTTACATGGTTGTCTGCAATAATGCAGATCAACCTTGTTGAGAAGGAAGAGAAATGCACCATGGTTCTTTCAGCTTGTAATAGATAGATGACTGACTGATAGATCTTACAATAGGTCTTTACATTTTTTTCATTACCATACTAAGAATAGTGCAAGATGATTTCAGCTTTAAAACAATTCACAGAGCCTTCCTAAAGGAAACAATAGACTTTAAAATTCAACCTCATGACTCTGAGAACTGGGAAATTGTTTCTTCTTAGTATGGTAGCAGGACAGTTGCAAGTATAGGAAAAATAAAAGACTAAGTAAAATTGTGACATTACCTATTATAACTTGTTGAAAAGAAACCTTGTTAACCTTTCAAAGGAAACATGAATGACAGATATATAGAAACATAACAACACGTTGTCACCAGGTATGAGGACATGATATAAGAGGGTAATTTTTACAAGTTTATTTGACGCCCATGCAGTCTTATAGAGAATATAAAAGTGATGTCTTTTAGAAAATATGGGATTATTTCATATATAATTTGCATAAATGATTACTCATGAGTAATTTTCTTCATTTAGACCCGTTATAGCCAGAGGACTTGTGTTAATCTATTGGTGCTACTATTTAGATGGAAAATAGAAAATATTGTCTTCTTTCTCAACAAAGCTAGCTTGCATTGTTGCAAAAATACCTCAGATTTCTAAGGTATTTTTGTATAAAAGGCAAAAGACAAAATAATTAAGAGTTAAGAAGCTCTAACATTACAATCTAAGATTGTGGCTGAGTTCTACCAGTGATTAGATACATCGTTTGAGGTTAACAGCTTAGTATGTGGCTCAATTCTTTATTTGTAATACAGGATTATAGTACATAGCACAGAGTTCTAGCAAAACATAAATTACAAGTACGCATGGTATTTAATATGGTTCCCAGAACATCTAACCGTCAGTAAATGGACCACTACTCTGATTCCTGATAGCATAAGTTAGCTTTATCTGGTTTTTAATCAGACAGTATATACTCTTAAGTACTTGCCTTTTTCTATCACTCTGCATTATGTCTCTGCATTTCAACCATGTTATTGCATGTAGCAATCATTTTTTCATTTTCATTCATGTATAGATTTCAATTGTGTTGAGATACAGCAATTTCCTTATCTATTATACTGTTAGTGAGTATTCCAGTTGAGGGCTATTACACATAGTACTGCTGGGAACATTCTAATTCTGCCACATCTTTTGGTAATCAGTCGTATGCATGTATTTCTGTTGAGCATGCACCTAGAAGTGGAGTTGCTGAACTGTATGGTATACATAAGTGCCGGTTTTCCAAACAACAGTGTTTAAGTGTTCCAGGTGCTCTACATCCTCACCAACACTTGGATTTTCTGTCTTTTTCATTGTATTTATTCTGGTGAGTGTGTAGTTGTAACTCATTGAGATTTTAGTTTGTATTTCCCCAATGACTAATGAAGATCCAATATTAATTTACTATTAACCTAATGTTTGAATAGTGTAGACTCAGGCCCTGTTCTCAAATGAGGACCAGCCAGAAGCCATGAGTACTCAAGGATTTTTTAAAGAAATTATAGCTCATCATAGTACCAAAGCTGAGACAGGGAGCTGGCCCAGATATCTGCAGATACCTGTAAAGTTTGTTTACTTGAAGGCAGAGGCTCCTGGATCCCAACATGTGTGGGATGGCCCAAGACCACTTCCCACCTTCCTGGGGCCACCGTCTGTTCCTAGTTTTCCTGCATCCACAGGCTCTGGTTCCTCCAGATCCGCATCAGCCTCCCAGACATCCAGAGCTTTACCACTCACTTGCCTCCCATTTCCTTTTTCCATCACAATTTTTTTTTTCCTCTCTGGAAGGTACACACGTTGATTTAAAAGGTTATTTTCACATCCTATTCATACTTTTTAGGTGTGATAAAACTAGAAGATTCCAGTTCTCCATTCTGTTTTAAGAGCGACACGTTGATAATATGTGCTCTGGATGTTAGTTACTCTACTAATAGAATCTTTGTGGTGACAGGTCTCTTTTGTGCTTGGGGCCCAATGACACTGGGAAGGCAGTGGTTTTGATGTTATAGAGGCCCTACAGCACACAGAAAGAAGGCAAAGCTCTTGCCTAGCGACTCTACAAAGCTGTCTGTGAATATCCCCATCAGATAAATCATATGAGGCACCAGGGCCCTCACTAGCAAAGGAAGATGAACAGGAGCATTTCTCTACCCCAGTATGGAGAGAAGGATGGCGTCTCTATTCCTGCATGAATCTGTAACTTGAAACTTTTGTTTAAAAATAATTACCTAACCTAATAAACAATCAGGTATAAAGGAAGAAACTGATATTCACAAGATCTTAACCAGAACTAAGAACATTCTGCCCCCTATTTCAGAGTGTCAGAGAGGTAAAATGAGTTAACCCCCAAAGGAAGCACAGGGGTAACAGAAGTGGTAATGCTGTTTAATTCTGTATGAAGGTTCAAGAAGCTGCGATAGTTTAAAATACTTTATCAAATTTCTTGTGACAATATTTTCTTGGCTAATAAGCTATTTTGAAAGTGCATTATACCTAGAATCCATTAAAAAATTGCAATCATACAACCATATGGTTTATCATGCACTAAAAAGCATTTACTGATTACAAATGTATCAATGAATTTGCCATCTTTTTTATTAGCTTTTAAAAAGACTCTTCAACTTTAGTTTTGTGTTCTTAGATCATATCCAGTGAAAAATATAATGCCCTCTAATCTAACATTTTTTGCATAATTCTTATTTGAAATAGGTAGAATATCTCAGCTTAATTTCATTTACTGAAGTCAATTAGATCGTCTTTCCTTTATAAACACATTTATTGTAATTTAACACATTTTTGATATCTTTAATAAATGAAATAAAAGAAGATTGTTTCAAAATCATGATGTGTCTTTTAAACATCTAAACTACTCTGGTTTGTCTTTTATTACAGAAACAAAGGCATTTTAAAAAGAGATGTCAATCTCTGTGAAGATTAAAGCTGTAAGTATTCGTGTTTGCACCAATCTCCCGAGTTCCTCAACGGAAAACACTCTCTGAAAGACCAACCTCGATACTTCTCCATTCATGTTCTGTGACGATAAATACATCGACGTCCGCTCCTCAAAATCGACTGGCCACTCAAGTTAACCGCTAGGTGCCTGGATTCTGACTTCACACCATTGACATCTGTGTGAAACGTGATCTACATCCATTTAAAAACAACAACAACAACAACAACAACAAACATTGATGCATTGATCAGGACTTTTGGAAGCAAAGAAAACTTGAAGAATTCTCAGTAAGAGAGAACTAGATGTTGAGAACAAACTAAATGAGGCAAGAGTTACTTTGCTGTTTAGCGTCTAAGAACTAATGTAATTGCCACGTTAAAAAGAAAAAAATGAGCAGCACATGCATTGATGAACAACACGACCTGGATCACTATTTGTTTCCAATAGTTTACATCTTTGTGGTAATAGTCAGCATTCCAGCCAACATTGGTTCGCTCTGTGTGTCTTTTCTGCAAGCAAAGAAAGAAAATGAATTAGGAATTTATCTCTTCAGCTTGTCATTGTCAGACCTGCTGTATACGCTCACTCTCCCTCTGTGGATTAATTATACCTGGAATAATGACAACTGGACTTTCTCTGCTGCACTGTGCAAGGCATGTGCTTTCTTCATGTACATGAACTTCTACAGCAGCACAGCCTTCCTCACCTGCATCGCTGTTGATCGGTTCTTAGCAGTTGTCTACCCTTTGAAGTTTTTTTTCCTTAGAACAAGAAGATTTGCGTTCATGGTCAGTCTATCCATCTGGGTAATGGAAACCATCTTCAATGCTGTCATTTTGTGGGAAGATGAGACATCTACAGAATACTGTGATGCCAAGAAGTCTAATTTTACTCTATGCTATGACAAATACCCTTTGGAGAAATGGCAAATTAAATTCAACCTGTTTAGGACATGTACGGGCTATGCAATACCTTTGGTCATTATGATGATTTGCAACCAGAAAGTTTACCAAGCGGTGCGGCGGAATCAAGCCACGGAAAACAATGAAAAGAGAAAAATCATAAAACTACTTATTAGTATCACATTGACTTTTGTCTTGTGCTTCACTCCCTTTCATGTGATGTTGCTGCTTCGCAGCATTTTAGAGCCTATATCTAACTACAAGTCTGGGAAGCAGGCTTATACAATGTATAGAATCACAGTTGCATTAACAAGTTTAAATTGTGTTGCTGATCCAATTCTGTACTGTTTTGTAACTGAAACAGGAAGATCTGATATGTGGAATATAGTAAAGTTCTGTACTGGGAAGATTAATAAATCACAAACCCATTCTATATCTACAAAAGATACTATGGAGTTACACACCCTGGAATAGAACCAAGGGATTTATTTTGAGGTGCACAATATTATATCCTCAAGATTACATTTTGAAAAAGAAACCTAGCTTGGGCTGGAACTAAGTATTCCAGTTGTGTGAATATTTTAATATCCTCTCCAACAGAAATATTTTAAAAATACACTGAATACCTCCCTGATTTTTAGTAAATGAATATTAAACAAAATTTAATATTTTCCTAATGACTTGGGATCATTATTGTTGATGACAATTGTTTTCGTATCTGTGCTATAATCCCTCAGAGGTTAGTCAGACATACAGGACAGTGTGTCTTTCATTTGATGACCTTTATGTCCAGGTTTTATATTTTCCTCACTTGTTCTGTAGATTTCAGGCTGTCAATTATAACTTCTCCCAACTGCATGTCCATGGCTCCATCAAATCCTACTACAAAATATTTCTTCTAATCTTCTCACACATTACTGAATATTTGTTGAGCCTACTCTATGTACTGTTTTGTGTTTAGTACTGGGGTTACAAAAAAAATGGTCTCATGAAGGCTTGTGAAGCTCATTTCAGTTCAGAGACCTAGTTGCTTCTATACAAAGGAAAAGTGAATGGGTTTGGGGTGACAATCTGAAGGCTTTTCCCATAATATAAAGCACATGAGCATTGCGAGAGTCTTTCAGCTGCTCAAAGACCTTCTTTACTTTCTTTTAAATCATATTTTTGTTTAACTGTGATTTTTTAAATATTCACAGTTAAGTACATAATAGTTGAAAGACATTTATTATATTAAATGTTACATGCAGAGACTTCCTTTAGGGCTTAGAATATTTAGAGAATCTTGATATAATATACTCTCAAATTCTCCTTTGTAGAAATTACTCTGCCTAGTCTTAAGTAGGTATTAGGTAAACATTTTCCCTAACCAATGTATTTTTAAATATTTTTTATCCTACTCCTCTTTTTCTCCTTCCTTCTTTTTCCTATCTGTTTCTTCAACTCTCCCTGTCCCCCTGCCAAAAAAAAAAAGTCAGATAACAAATCTTTTGATTTCATTTTCTAGCCTCACATTGGAAAACCAAAAGCCAGATAACAAGAAAGACTCATCTCCTTTCAATAAGGAATTTTGAGACACACACTGAAAAATCAGTGAGTGCACAAACATTTGCCAAGAAAGTTTTCCAGGATGGTGTGTACAGAAGAGAACATCTTTCTTTGCGGCCATATGTGTATTCTGTGTTCTTTGCACTTTTCTGGTTATAAAGTTTTTAGAAAATTAATAAATTGTGTCTGGGCACTCAGAGAAACACATATGCCAAAAAAACTGAAGATAAACTATTAAAATGAAGAGTAACTAAAATAGTTCAGGCTGTTTGATTAATTATTGATAAGTTATTGGCAGCCTGTGAGTTGAATACTTGTAGAAGTCTTGTGTCTTGTCCGAGATCACAAAACTTCCCAAGATTCCTAACTTCCCTCCAGAGTTGCTTTGCCCCTTCTGTTTACTTATTTACTTATTTAAAATATTTCTGCTATTTCTTTTTTTTAGGCATGCTAAAGACAAATGCAGGAGGAGCCGGTCAAGGTAGTCATTGAATTTTGGTCAGGAAGAGGGGGAGAAAAGATTGGTTCAATAATTAATAACTCTTGGAATATGATAAATCATATGGACAGTAATTAAACCGTTACAGGGACCTGATTAAGATTCATCTCGGTTATACAAAGAGATAGCAAATAACACGTGTTGCACCTTTAATAAGAATGTTCTACCGACTGATTAACAGCGAAACCATCTGTATAGGGTGTTGTAAGACAAGTTCCAAAATAAACCAGGCTGTCAAAACCTTCAAGCAGCCTTTCCTTCCTATCAGAGAAAGGCCGATCACAGACGATCCACGTTGGGAGGATGCTTAGGTGATTTAGGGTGAAGCCTCATCCTGTGACCCAAAATTATCTATCCTCCCAACATTGGAAAGTGAGTCCTTCAGTTTTGAAAGGCTGTTTAGGCGCTTGAAAAATGTTCCCCATTAAACTGAAAGAACTCAGGAAGGAATAAGACCGTGCAGCTTTCATTATCCAGGACTTCGTTGTCAGAAGACCTAGATTGGAACACTACCGATCCACTTATATACAAGATGTTTGACCTCAAAAGTTGTTGTGGGCTCCCCAAGGCAGCTTCTATAAACTGCAGGGACAACCGAAACACTTGCTTTTAACAAGCTGATGTGAAAACACTTGGTAAATTTTGGTGAGATTTCTTAATGTTCATTGTTATTCTTCTCATCTTTGCCAGGAATAGGGGACAGCTTCCCGAGAGATGGAACAGCCCCTGGAGGAGGGGCGCTGTGGGAAGGGGTGCGGCCCAGGGCTGGTAGGAGCGGCCGTAGCCGCACAGCCAGGTCACGTCCTCCAGGTGGTTGAATGCATCCACTGGGTATCGCAGGGGCCTTTCTGGTTCCTGGTTCTGTGGGGCATCTTCAATATGCCTGCTCGTAGGAGTTCACAATTCTGAGGAGACATGCTCAGGATATTATCATAAACACACAGATAAATATCCACTTTTAATTCGTTTAAATTTTTGACTTTTTATTTTCATATTAAGAATGTTACTTTTTCACTTAATGAACTCAAATAGACCTCTGGATAGGCCAGTGAAGGGACTGAGGATAGGTATTTCAAACTTCCATTTTCCCTACCTCTTCTAGAGAAGCTTCATCGGTGAGGAAGAACCTGAAATACATCCAAAACAACCTTATATTTCTATTCTTTAATGTCATAATCAAATAAACAATTATTCACCAATTGCATCTGTTGACCTCGTGAACTTGATTTATTTTTAAACAGATGTACCAATTTAAAAATAGAATTTGTGATACATAGCATAGCCATCTCTGTTTACAACACTTTTATCTTGCCCTGGGCTTCTTTTTGCCAGTCATCGCCATCATCATTCTGTCATTTATGCAGAGAGCCCCTGATCTTTTCTGGCTAAACCCATCCACAGGTTGCTATGGAAACACAACAGCTACCGAAACACCCTGTCCCAGGAAGGCCTTTGCGATAATAGGCTTCTTTGTCTAGGCCCGGCTGTTTCTCCAACAGACACGCCCCCGCACAAATACGTATTCATGGACACACAAATAACCTGCCCCTTCTCACAAAAACAAACACACAAACAAACAAAACATCCCTAGTCTTTTTTAGCACAGGCTTGTACTGTTTTGTAAGATATCTAATACCAACTGGTAGAACACACATTACCTCCTTAACTTCTGAAATAACGCGCCATGTGGGCGCTCTCACTTTCTTGTTTACTAACTCAGCAGCCAGAGGACCATTGCTAAGATTCTTCTTCCCTAGTCTTCCTCCCTCTTTTTTCCCCCAGCCAAAATTGGCTGCCAACGGAGCTGTGGTAAGAAAACGTCTATCCAGATTTTTTTTATTCCTGAAAAAAATTAATTTTTTCATTCTGAAAAAAATCCAGTTCTGACTGAGCTGTTTTATTTACATCTTCTGCGTAGACATCTTTTGGGGAAAATAACAGAAAGTTAATTCAAAAGAAAGCAGACTTGTCTTGTTTTCTTTTTTTTTTTTTTTTTTTTTTCATAGTGTATACATCTGATTCAGGTCAAGTAAAATCATTTTTTGACCCTTTTTTTAATTCTCTGGTGTTTCATGCAGCTTAAAGATGGAGCACATTGTGTTTAAGTTTGTGTTATTAGCTGCGTTAGCTGAATTTCCCTTATTTGCAGGAATAAGCTGACAATGACAAAACTCAGGCAAACTTGGCTTGAGGGAGAAGCGATGTGGGAGTTAAGATTCCTCTGCTCTGAAGATTCTTTTCTTCCTACATCCTTTGTTGCCGGCCAAGAAAAATCACACAGGGAACCTGTTTGTGGCCACTAGGTGTCGATCATGCTCTATTTGGAACATGCGGCAAAAAGCCACTCCCCAAGAGCAAAAAGTAGTTTAGGGTGACACTTTTCTATCCAAGAAACAATGTAGAAATATCTCCTGTGACTTAGAAGTGAATGAGAAGATGTGCTGAAATTCAGTTTGCATCTCTTATTTCTCTGCTCTCTGGAAAGCTTAGTAATCATCAGGTAACTTCACTTGGTTTAAACTCCATCTGTCATTTCAGTATTTTTTTTTTCAGCCTGTTAGTCAGTCCACATGTAAGAGAACATAGGTTAAGTTTATAACTTCTGCAAGATGGTGGATATAACATTGGTAACTTATCCTTTAGTTATCTTACTCGTAAGACAATAGTAGCTACCTTTCATATAAATAGAAACAAAACATTTGAGCTATAAGCTGTTTGCAATTTTGTCTACTATGATGAGATTACTATACACAAAAGTCAAGATATAATTCAATATATGTATGATTTTTAACTTCTAATTTATTATTATTAGATCTCAGCACTAAAAAATTATCTGCTATTTTGGATTGTTTAAATCTGTTCTTCTCCAAAGAACAGTAACGCGACCATGCTCTAGTTTAACAACATTTGCATATTATTAAACATACAATGACCCATAAGCTATTTATTCTGCCCGTAATTTTATTAAGCTCTTTATTAAGCAGAAGTGGATTTTTTCACACATTTAAAAACAGGTTATGATTCCTCAAATACTGTTGCAATTTGATATTCAAAAAGCAAGCCATACAAAGAAATAAGCTATGAATGTCTTCTCCTTTTTCAGTGTAAGCTTTAGAATAAAAATATAAATTTTATTATTTGGGAAATTAAATACAATCAAGAAATCTTGCCGACTTGCCAATATTGTAAAAAAATATTAACTTCGGTCTCAGCATTTATTGATCTTCCTTGTATAGTTGATTGAACATGTGAGCATCCTTCTGAAAGAAACCCATTCAAATTTCTGGTTTTGACTCCAGGACTATTGACACTAACAAATGTATTAACTTGGAAACCCTGATTCTTTTGACAGTTAAATGAAGCCCATAAAAAGATTACAACAGTAGGCTAAGAAATGCCGCAGAGAGCTGTACTGTTCATCTCCGAAGTG